TCTTTCCAAAACTAAGTATACCAAACCTCATCACAAAAAAGCTTCAAATGTCTCTAATCATTAAACATAAAAAGTTTAAAATATCATGTAATAAATAGAAGACCATGTAATAGAGGTAATAAACAAGCAGATGAAAAATGTATCAAACACCTCCACTCAATGAACTCGAATAAGGCACCAAAATTGCAAATCTATTTGTTGTTGTGCATGAGATGATAAAAGAAATTAGTTGCTAGCTTTGCAACTCAAACATTGCCTTAAAATCCATGATGAGGACATAAAATAAATTGATTTTAATGCCACAAAACTCCAACCATTTTTCTCACTTCTTTAAGAGCACCAGGTGGGTTCTAATGGGAGGTACTTTAGCTTGCTTAGAAAATAAAAATTAAAAAAATAAATAAATGGATGGGACCCCATAGTCCCTCCTCCCATGCCACTCAAAATAGCAAGGCGAATAGCATTTTCATCTTTTGAAATAGATTTTCAACAAATGAAGTACAAAAAAGACATATTGTAAAGAAACTTCTACATAACTTCTTTCTCTTCAAAAAATTTCAATTGTTTGAGTACATAAAATTGCACTTTAGGCTACAGAAAAAGGTTCAAGCACTTCTTATATTGCTCTATTTAATATTTACAAACAAATGGCATACAAAAAAGGATAAAACATACAAAGCACCGAAAAGAAATTCCTTTTCATTGTATGGTATAGATAACTTAAATTCAGATATTTAAATAACAGCTAAAATAGTCCCAACCATTGCCAGTTGGGGACAATAGACAATAGGTACATTCAGGAAAAATGTAATTGTAAAATAGACAACAAACTTTAGGAGTGTGTCCGTTTGAAATTAAACCAAAAATGGGCAACTACAATATAAGTGTAATTTTTTTGTGAGTAAAAAATTAAGCTTAAGAGAAATTGCAACTTACAATTTTCAAACAATTGTAGTTGTGTAGTTGCATTATTTGCAGCGAAGTGAGTTTGGCCCTCCTCCCAGGCAGCTGAAAATATTGGCTTGGCATTGCTACCTCCAAACATTTTCCTGGAGACAATCAAAGAACCATACAATAAACTTTACAGCAAAAGCAGCAAAGCTAATTTTGGATCTCAATTTATTGCAATCCAATAATTATGACAAAAACAACAAGGATCCAACAGCAAAAACAGTGACATGAACAAACAAGAAACAATAAATAAGCCAAATTCAAAACACACTCTGCTTCGCATAAATAAAAAAGTAAACCAACTGCAGCAATATCAGTATGAAAACCAAATCAGAATGGGAAAAGCACTGGATTGTGAAATTTCAGTATAGATCACCAAAAATAGGCCTTCTTTATTTTATATTTAAACTCAAAGCCCAATTGACGAAGAATACATTCCCTAATATGCATAAATAACCACAACAAATTTGAGTCAGCCAAAACACGTTCAGAGCAACAGAAACAGTACATAGATATTTTAAAAAGATTGTAACAAACACGAAAAAGAAAACTATACCCATGAATAAGAATTGTGAGTTATGTATGTAAATTTCCCAGTATAAAAAACTAGACAAAAGAAACCCAACATAACGATGGGTAAAGGACTCGAAAATACAAATCAACAGTGTATAATCAATTTTTTTTCGTAAATTCATACATAGAACTAAAAAATAGAAATTATCTAACGATACTTATCCTCGGATGAACATTATTGCTCCGAGAGAGAGCTGCAACCGTAAAACAAGCGATACTAAAATAGAGCAAAAGATTCAGGCAAGCCGAGCAATCATACCAAAATAAACCGCTTAATAAGCGCAACTTCGGGAAATTGGGAGGGCTAGAGGAGGAAGGAGAGAGAGAGAGAGAGAGCATGGCAGAAGCAATCAAAACCTGGCAGTTGATGCCTTGCAGTCCATGCCTCGATCCGTCGCATTGATCACATAATATCCATCCTATCCAACCTAAAAAATAAAAATCCAGCTATAAGACACACGGCCGCATTCTCTGCTCCAAAATCCACAAAAATTCAAAAAAAAAAAATCAAGAAATAAATCATCAGAAAGAATAAATTTCCTCACGGAAGCACTCAACGTGTACCTTCCAAACAAAAACCTCAATTTCGACCGACGGAAGAAGCTCCGGCGATCCTTCCCAGCCCTCCACGCCTTCCCCTCTTCCCCCTTCCACTTTTTTCCGACCCTCTATTTCCTTTTTCCCTTGCTTCTAATATACTTGCTGGCAGCATTTATTTACCACCATACCAACTCGTCCGAAAGGGAGTGCTGCTTGCCGTGCTGACTCACCGTTACATTTCAACCGCGGAACCCAACCGTATTTACGACTTGACCGTCCGATCCCTATCGGACGGCTTTATCATATTCAGTTCTACGGTGGTTACATCATGACCGTTCGTTCGAGCAGTACATTTGGAATCCGGCGGGAGAGGCACGTGACGGGGTTCGTGGGTCCCGCCCCAGCCGGAAACTGCGGGAAGAATTGAAGGGGAAGTCAGGCAGGGTGTTCGGCTCTCATTGGTTGTCGTGCGGACCGCTTTAGAAGGCACGTGGAGTCACGTGGATGGTTGGATTCAGGCGTCGACTGGGTTCAACCACAGCCGTCGATGATGGCTGGACGGTTGTGATTTGTTTTTATGATGCATGCGGAAGCTTTTTATTGGCTTGACGATAAGGATTAAGAAGGTAATGTGGGGTTTAGAAGATTAGGTCGATGCAAATTCTTTATGAAAATGTCGAGTCAGATAAGCTTCATAACATCTTTTTTTTTTTTCATATTATTATTTAAATTATTAAAAATGAATAATTTTTACATCTAATAATAATCTGACATATATGTAAAAATTGAAATTTAATTGCTTGATATGTAAATGCATAGGAATTATAGGGTAAGCATGTAAATCTTCTTTCCTTTTTTCTTTTTTCTAACATTTTATGCCTAAGTTAGGTAAGAGTTGTATTCAAAGTCATTGGATTGATTATATAGGGGGCAAAAAATATATATTTTGATGATGAAAAATAAATTATAAATTCATGATTTAAATTAATTAGTTTGAAGAAACTTTACTTCAACTTTAATTGTTGTGCAACGGAAATTTTTTGATGTAAGAATTTATTATAATTTTAATTGTATTTGTATATGAGTATTTTTTTCGATGAAAATACTTGTTGTTTTTTATCTGAATATTTACCAATCAAAGTGTATCAAAGATGAAAATCATAAAATGATTTTCTTAGATGAAAATATTCAACATAGACGGGTGAGTTATTTTGATAAATTTTTTTTTAAAGTTTCTGAAATTACGATCGATTTTGGTGATCTTAAGATCGTTGATAATAATAAACTTTTTATTTTGTTGTTGCATTAGAAAAAAAGAAGTTCGGAAGGTTTTAAAGAGAACTGGTTGTGAAAAATCAGTAGCACCTGATGATATCTCAATTAAATTGTGGAAATATCTGGGAAATTTGACTTTTTTTGGCTTACTAAACTCTTTAGTATTATTTTGAAAACTAAAAAGATGTCCAAGGAGTAAAGCAAGAGTATTTTAGTTTCATTTTTATGAGTAAAAGAGAAGCACAAGAATGTGCAAATTAAAAAGAAATTAAGTTAATATGTTATACATTAAAATTATGGGAGAGGGTAATTGAACATATGTTAAGCCATGATACGAAGATTTTTCATAATCAATTTGGATTTATGTCAGGCAAGTCAGCTTCAGAAGTAATACATTTATTGAGAGGTTTGATGGAGAAGTACAGATAGAAAAAGGAGGATCTACATATGAATTTTATTGATTTAGAAAAAGCTTACGATAAGGTTTCATGGGAAATTTATTGGAGAGTTCTAGAAAAGAAATGTGTTGATATGACTCACATTCAAGTCATTAAAGATATGTATACAATAGTTGTTCCTTTTGTTCGAACAGAAGGAAAGCTGACCAAATATTTTCTTATTTCAGTTGGATTGCATTAGGGATCGGCCTTAAGCCCGTATCTTTTTGATTTAGTTATGGATGTTCTTACTTGACATATATAGGAGAATATGCCTTGATGTCTATTTTTCATTGATGATATCTTTCTTGTGGATAAGACTAGAGAAGGACTTTAGGAATAACTTGAATTATAGAGGTCTACATCGGAGTTTAAAAATCTTCGTTTGAGTAGATCAAAAATGAAAAATAATTTTAGTAGTGGTAGCTCTAGTGAGAGAGTTGTAACAATGGGTAATCAAATCATTAAAAGGTGTGAACATTTTAGATATCTTGGTTCTATTGTTCAAACTGATAGTCGCATAGATCGTGATGTTTTTAATAGAATTCATGTTGGTTGGTTGAGACGAGGAATGCATCAAACCTAGAATATTACTGCTTAAAGGAAACTTTTATTAGATGGCGAGACTTGCAATGCTTTATGCAAGAGAATGATGGCGTTTAAAAGGGGTGCATAAAACAAAGTTAAGTGTTGCTAAGATGAGAATGCTTAGTTGGATGAGTAGCACGACACATAGAGACAAAATGCGAAACGAATCCATCAATGAATAGGTTGGTGTGGCTCCAATTGTAGACAAGATTAGAAAGTCATCTCAGAAGGTTTGGTCACATTAAATGTCAACCATCTTGTTTTCATTTCTTTTTCTCTTTTTATTTGTAAAGGAGTCATCAATTTATCGATCGTCTTATACTTCTCCTTTTTGAATAAATCTCTCTTTCCAGATTATATGAATGATCAGAAGAAAGGAGGAACCAAAATATAAGAGACATACGACAAAGATGACAAACAAGAGAAAAGAGTAATGTGGAGAGTCTACATATGGTAAACTTAGCAAGGATAGGACAAAAATGTCTGCTCAAACAAGATCGGGCGAAAGCAACTTGAATCAATATCCACGAAAGAATGCCCACGTAGACTACTCATAACTAGAGAGTTAGGTGTATGTGTCTGTTCTGGAGTCAAGGGTACTCCCAAAGGGACGTATCCCACTTGGTTAATTGTATCTTAGGGGATACATAAGAATACTCTCGATAGAAGGGATTTCGATTGCATTATCGTAGACCTGGGGAAATAGGTCATCAAAAGAAAGTTATTCCGTGTGGGAATGCCCTGATGCTTCAAAGCTCTCGTTAAACCATTATGCAGAGAGTGAGTCTCTCATATCTCATATTAGTAGCAGCTCATTGGCACATGGGGCCCATAGAATAACCATGATCATCTTAACGGGAATATTCTAATACGTTAAAGCACGTCCAGTCCATAAGGCAGAGAACAAATTGTCATATCTCAAACAAGCAACAGTTCATCGACATGGGGCTATCATGATGATATCGACGAAGTAAAAGAGCAACGGAGCTCAAAGGGTCACAACAACAAGAAGGGTGGAGTCATCTTAAAAGGGTAGAGGAAGTCGAGCCAGTGTACAACAGTCATGTCATCTCAAGCCACTAAGGCCCTACGTCTACTTGGTCGTGAGGTAGTCGAACCAACACGACTAGATATCCCCAGTTATCATTCTGTGAATTGTGTCATCTACGGAAGACCTCGGTAGCCCTATGGTCAAAAGAAAGAAACTCTATCCTTTGTCTATAAGTTGGAACTCCAAGAGGTGGGACTTATACATGTCGAAGTGGCGAGGATGCCTCAAGAAAAAAAGAATGGGAGGTTCAACTACAAAGTTGGAAACACTCCGAACAAAAGGAGTTTCATCTTGTCTAAGTTGGGGAGCCTTCTAACACCCTAGCAGATTCGACAACCATATATATATAAAAATGTATGTTGGGTCGGTCATGATGGAGAAGCATGAGGACTTCTCCTTGGGACATGCAGATATGAATACAGTTTTCTAGAGTGAGCCCTAATTATTGTGGAGGCCCTATTAGATGACTTGGGTCATAGCCATGCAATGTAGACCGTTTAAAATTCGACGTGAAGGCCATGCAGAAAAATAAAAGTACTAATTTTTAAAATCCTGAATATTTTAATCTTAAAAATTCATTAATCTTGAATATTTTATTAGGATTTTGTAGAAAGTTTAATATTTAGAGTCATAGTGAGCTTATATTGCATCGTGATTCCCAGAGAAACTATAAAAATAACAAGAAAAAATTTCAAGCATTCAGACACGCAATTAGACAGAAAACAAGTCAAACAAAATAAAGAGCCGCCATTGAGCTACTGACACGAGCATGTGTTGATGGTCCCCTCTACATGGATGTTGTGCCAAAAGCCATGAAACCCATGCTCGTATCTTATTTCTGTTATAGGACTCTTCTAGACTCTAAAAGTATATATAAAAAAGAAAAAACTCAACCTGCATGGAAAATAAAGTTGGCGGGTAAAGCCATGCAACGCATAATGAGCAGCACTAGGTGGGGGAGTTAAGCAACACCTACAAGAAAATGGTGAGTAGAAATCACTAGATGCTCCCCCTCTATTGCACATGTGTGTGTGCATGTATAGGCACAACTTCCTGCAGAAGAATGCTCTAGCATACTAGCATGCATATCAGTCACTCCAAAAGCACAAAAGCACAAAAGTAGTAATGTTCGACTAGGGAAACCAATCCAACATAGAATAATAGTCAGGCATCAAAAGACTACCTAGCATCCTAAACACTAGCTTTATACACCATCTAATAAAAAAGTGTCCTAACCTAGTACCTAAGTGTACAGAGTAAAGTCTTCGACTACCATATGACTTTGACGGGTCGCCACACCGGCTCCATCCTAAAGATCTAAGGGATTTAAAGCATGTTATGAGAGATTGTGATATTTTAAAATAAGTGGCCTCACATAAAGCCTAAATTAAATAATTTTAAAAGTGGGAGTATAATACATAAATAATAAAAATATCTATTATTATAGTTTTAAAATAACAGATTTATAATGTGGATCTGTGATGCATATGACAAACTTTAGAGCCCATGGATCTTAAGCACAATCATACTCGTGTTAATCCAATGCTTTAGCTTGCATTGTTCACCGAGATCGACCTTGCAAGCAATGTTCGTTAAAGGATCACGTCTAACACGGGGTCACTCTTCTAACAAGTCTGGCTCACTATCCATGCACACATATAAATACAAATGCAGACAAAAATGCACAAGGGTGGTGAGGTTGAGTGTGACGTGAAGGCATTGACTCAGAAGGTAGGTATGTCATGGAGACAGTGATCCGAGGAGTGGACGTGCCATAAAGGCAGAGGCCCAACGGGAGATCCGAGGAGTGGACGTG